TCGGATTACTCCTCCGGAGTACCTGAGATCACCCCTGGTTTTTGGTGGGGTTCGGGTTGCGCAGTCTTCAGTTTTCTATGTTGTGATTTGTATATTGTTGTTTGTCTTTTAGTCGTGTTTGTTTTTGTGTTTTGCCATGGCATTGTGATTTCGTTTTCGACTTATGAGTTTGATTATCCCTTTGGAATCTTTCGCCTCTTTTTTATCGGTCCGTTAAGAGTAAGTAAAATTGTACAACAAATTGTGTAGATATTTTTAAATTTCTCGTTTTCGTATTTTTCTTTTGCAAATATAATTGAGAATCCAGCGAAATGGTTATGTATTACAAACTGATAAACGGTATATTGCAGTGTCGAATGTGTGTAACCTCTGAATTAAACTGATAGGCGAAGACAGGCTACTTCAAATCTTCATCACTGTCTTTTAGAAAACTTATGACTCAAATAAAGGACTGTTGAAATTTCCATCAAAACGAGACAATATTTGGTTGACATTGTATCATGTCTCTGTTGATGATTTTTACGAATCTTAGGCCGGTAGCTAAGTTACATTTTTAACATTTATTAGAAAACAAAGTCATATGAATAGATACATAAATTAAAAAACAATGTCTTTACATACATTGAAAATATAATAAATGGTTCTAGTAGAGACATACATGTTTTGAATATAACATATTATATATATATATATGTCTCTGGGTCTAGTCACATGCGCTTGGGGAATGGAACCACTCCTCCACCCTTTTTTCTAAATATCTTTTTTTGTTTTTAATTTTTTTTCTTAGTCAATATTGTTTTATATTTTATTTTTTTTTCACTTATTTAATGTGTTCTAGCTTTTTTCCATACGATATTACAATACTAGTGGTTATAAATCTTGACCCTTTGTTATCATCGTTTTCATAAATCGTCCGAGATGTCTTTTAAATTGGTCCGAGCTGTCTTGAAAAGTGGCCTGAGTTGTCTTTAAATTGGTCTGAGTTGTCTTGGTCCGTCTTGTCTTTGGTCTGAGTTGTCATGTTTTCATTTTAATTCTTTCATGTTGAAACAATGCAAAATGTTTTTTTCTTCAAAAATTACAAATAAACTGAAGAGTAACTTACCTTTAACTCAGTCCGTTGACTATTTACAACCATCAAACTTTCGTAAATTCAGTTTTTGTTTTTCCTAGATTTTAATGTGATTAAATCAGCAGGTTGTCATGTGCGAATATGTTTAAATCGGTGATTAAGTTCCTTCAAATATGACCATGTCAAGTTTCTGAGATTTATCATTTGACTTCAGTGAAATCTTTGTGAATTTTTTATTGTCATCAATGTCATTTCATCAAACGCATCTAAAAAATAAGTTAGACTTTGTAGAGGATTTCCAAATCAATGTTGTGAAATTCGATGTCTTAAATTTAGGTTTCAGATAGACGAAATAAGAAAAACCCTCAATCAGAAAGTATTCTATTGTGTCCTGTTGACCATGTTTTCCTTCTAGTCAGAATAAAATGGAGCAATATTTCTTTAAATCACAGATCATCCGTATGTTTGAATACGTGTAGTATGACTTGATTTCTTGCAAGTTTCGTTCAGATAGTTCAAGTAGTTGTATAGAACAACAGATTGGAATCTGATTTATCCTAAGATTCAACTGAACGTGTTATATATGCATATCAATCAGCACTAAATTGGGATTTTTTTAAAGAGTTTCCAATTGAACATTTCATTCTTCAAGCTTAGCAATATTTAGTGGATATGTAACATAACTGCAGAAGGCACCGAGGGAAGGTGCTGCTGCATGGCAATGCGTGTTATAGACGCACATGATGTATGTTGATAGACAGCAGTGATTTGGTTAACTAAATTCACTAAACTGATATTTCATTATCGTGCTTGATGCAGATTGGTCAATGCATATCATTAGGGGACCGGACTGCTGGAGCCACCAAGGGACGATGCTGAATGACATGCCCAAGTGAACATGTATATATTAGACTCAGATCGACGTCCGTTCCTCAAATCGACGTCCAATGTAACGCCATTTTCTCAAATTAGTGTCCAATATTTTCACCCTCTAATCGACGTCCAATATGACGTGCATTACCAAAACGACGTCCGATCGACCGGAGTCTCCCCTAATCGAGGATTATTATCATTTTTTTTAATAATTTATTCTTAGTTTGAAGTATGTTTGTATTATCCGTATCTGTTGTTTTTGTGTAAAGCTGCTTTAAGAAAATTATTGTTTTCTTATATCTTTAGACATGAACATAATGATGAAGCTTCGTGTTGCTCTGTATTTAGTTTCCTATGTTGTGTTTTGTGTACAGTTGTTTGTCTTTTGGTATTTATCTTTTTTTGCCATGGCGTTGTCAGTTTATTTTCGACTTGTGAGTTTTAATGTCCCATTGGTATCTTTCGCCTCTCTTTGGCGTAAAATAGAGAGAAAAACAAAGATGACAACACCTCGTCTAAAATAAATAAAACACTCAAAATAAAAGAACAAACATAAGAAAATGACAATCCGTCTTTTGTAGATGAAACGCGCGTCTGGTGTACAAAATTATAAGCCTCCGCCCTGTCTTATCTTTGATATTTTCTTTTAGACAACCACCGACATCATATTACATGTATATTGTACATATTAATAATTTAGTGAAAGAAGTGAATCCACTCAATCTACGTTGTCTTATTCCGTTTATATCAATATTAATTAATAACATGTTCACAAACGACAATGCAATTGAGTCATGATCTGTTTTGTCGGGAAGTACCCCGATAACGCCCTTGTTCAATTCTTGGTCTATGTGAGGAAATACGCAATCGAATGAGATTTCTCCTCTACTCAGGAGATCGTAATAAAATCAGGTATTTTTCAATACTACAATTTGTCCTAAACGTGCTATAGATACAGAGCTTTTAATCACCACAACTGTGCATTTGGAGTCTCCACTCATCATCATAATACTGATAAAGAATTATTTTTCATAAAAATGCAAAGCTTTGATTGTTAGAAAAAACCCCAAACAACTTGTAAATCTTTAGCTAGAATTTTAAAGATCCATCCCATCACGGAATTGTTTACTCCAAACATGCTTCCTCTAGTAATGGAAAAGATGAACCTAAATTTTCAAGCCTTTGGTAATATTTGATCATAGACTTTGTTATGGCAAAATGCATAGAGAATCTCCCTAGTTCCGAAATAGTGGCATTTCTTGCCCCAACACCAAGTAAAAGTCTACATATTTTTATAAGTAGATTTTACAAAAGAAGCTTTGGATAAACTTGATCTGCTATTGTAGTCTGAGATTTCAATTTTGTTTTTAAAGGGTTTGAATAATTCCAAATTTCTGAATTCTACAAAAGAGTAGGCCTAAGTGTATGATCAAATTGCACCACAATTTCTTCTGTTGCCGCTATCGTAACCCTTTTGTCACCTTGAATAAGACCACCCTCTCTGCTGAGTAGGCATAGGAATATCAAGGGCACTGTGTATAGACTTTTTCAAAAACTTTTTATTGATAAGTGATAATTATCCTCAGTTAATAAATCATTAATGGGATTTCAACAATGTTGATTTTGCCACGATAAGACATACATGAGTCAAAGCTTTAATAATTTGCCCATTTGTATAGGATACAATGTTATGTTTCATTGGTGTTTTTAGAGATTTGATAGTCTTATGATTTATGCTGAATAACAGAAACGAGATGGTTGAGTTCATCAAGCATTGCTGTGAGATAACCGATTTCGAGTCGTTAGATTTTCTCTTAGTGGGAATATCGGTTTTGTAAATGTTACTGCAGATTTATCTTTAAATCTAGGATTGGCTTTGATTAAGGTGATTAAAGTTTCACAAGAAGTGTTAACAGATGCCATTAATTTGGTATGGCCATTTGTTTGTTGATTTTCTAGCTGCAAGACAGCATCAGTTTCTCGATTCTAGAAAAGTGATCAACAATACTTGAGTTTTCTGTTGTGTCAAGTGTACTCGTGTGCGCATTCTGATGAACGATAGATTTTATTGATGAAAGAATAATTTCTTTGACAAAAAGCTTTGCAGCTCTAAATTGGATAAAATGTTAATCTAATCTAATATTGTCTGGTCCAAATCATTTTGGTTCTCATCCACTGTGGTGTTATTTAACACTTTCGCTAGGATTTTCATTAAACCAGATACGCGAAATTTGATAAATGTCATGTATTTGGATCTCTCTAAATAGTATAATTATCTAATCTTACATTAATTTTGCTTTTGAAAAATTAAAACCTAACTAAATATAAATTGCGTTATATGAACAGTTATTAGTACCCATAATTATACAATTTTCATGCAGTAATATACTCTCACTACTGGAACAATGCCCCGTAGATTGGCCGTGAAAATGTCCGTAAAAATGCTGGTGATTTTTACAGTGTTTGTCACGGTTAATTTACGGTGGGCCGTGAAACTTATCCGTGACAATGCCGAGGAATGACTGTCGTGAAAAGGCTGTGAAGAGGTGCCACCTGAAAACTTGGGTGAAAAGACCGTAGAAACCCTGTGAAAAAAAATGTACACCGTGAAAAAGTCGTGATAATGCATTATGTGCCCATTATGAAAAGACCGTGAAATGTAGATATAATACAGTATATGCCTTTATTTGTCGTGAAAAGGCCGTGAAAAGGTGCCAACTGAAAACTTGGGTAAAGAGACCGTAGAAACCCTGTGAAAAACAAAAATGTACACCGTGAAAAAGTCGTGATAAATTATGTGCCCATTGTGAAAAGACCGTGAAATGTACATGTACTACTGTGATATATAAACAGCCATTCACTGATTGTGAAAACTCCTGTAAAATGTTAAATGTATTTTTCAGGCCATAATTTAACAAAAAATTTAAATGCTATTTCAAAGCTAGTGTAAACATCTACAGACATTGAGACAACTTATTTAAGTACAATGCAAGTGAGACTATGAAAAACCATATTAAAATGCTGTATTTTTTTTAGTAATAATTGTGACAAAGAATAAAAATATTAATTTTAATAGAACTGTAGTAATTATGTAAAGAAAACATAAAAACACACAAATGTCAATGTGATTAAGTAGCTAAAGTCAGCTGTAACATGTATTGTAGAAATTTTGTACATCTCTTGGGTCTTATTTTACCACTTCAGCAATATTTGTCTAATGTAATCCTTCACTTCACTGCCCTTTTGAATAACTATTCCAGAAAAACATTTATAGAAGTTCCTGTTAATTCCCAGGAAATACTTTTAACTGAAAAGGTCTTCTTTCCAACTGGATCCCTGAACTATTTTATATAAAGACTGCTATATCTTTTTGCTCTTCATTCCTAGAATAAATAAAGAAACATTACATATATTATACATGTATATAAAAAAACTATTTATATATTCAAATTAATTTTTGGCATTTATGTACATACATGTACTTAAAACAGCTACAATATTATTCCATGCAATACAGGACTTCACGGTTAATGACCCCATATTGAATAGGGGGCAGATTTTCATACTGGAGGTGAAAATGGTATGAAAAATACTAAAAAACATCATTGAAACAGAACAGCCACTTGGAAACATGCATAGGTTTTCCCATATTTTCATACCATTTTCCAGAAAATCTGCCCTCTATCCAATATGGCATCATTAGTTAACGAAGTTCTGTATTGTCAACTTATATTATTTTTTTTAGATTTTTTTAAAGACTAAAGACCCTTTTAAGACAGACTATTAAATTTAAATGTTTCTTTGAAGTAATAATATGTATGACTAAAGATAAACTTGTCTAGACTAAGTGGCCGTAATGAGTCACAGCTGTTTATTTTACAGGGGGCCAGGGGCGTAGCAACTTTTACTGTAGGCACATTCGCCATACCAATTATTTTTTAAACACCTCATTGCCATACCAATTTTTCTTATGATATGGCACAAACCCTTCTAGAAAGGATATTTTGCCGTACAAATATTAAATACTTTCCCTGCTACGCCTCTGATTAATCCCTTTTGAACTCTGTGTCCCGACGGCCAAGTCAGAAAATACTTAAATAGCTCCCGACACATTCAAAGGGGGTTATGCCTCTGATTATCAGAGTGAACTCCATTTCAGAGATACTTATTGCTATTATAATCATAGAAAAAGGACCCCCCTTTTTTCCCCAAATACATAAACAAAACAAAACCGTAATCGTATTTAAAGGATCCGGTAAGTCTTAGAAAACATTGACCGAAATGATTAAAGGAATCAAGTGCAACAGACTCAAATATAAGTGAATATATCACATGCATGTTTGTGCGGTTTCTGCAAATTCAGTGAAAACCAGTTCAATGGAAATGCTCACAAACGTCATCAACATTTTGGTGATATGATGCATAAAAGAATAAAATATTAATAACTTAACTTACCTCAAACTTGCTGTCACTCGTCTTGCATCTATAAAGTAAATATTAATCGACCTTCGGCGTCTTTCAAATTTCCAATGCAACCTTGCGGAAATGTTACAATTACTCTAAAAGAAACACGAATCCGGATACGGTCTGATATTCCGGGAAGTTCTCGTTTTTACATGTTTCGGTTCCAATTAAAATTAATGTTTACATTGTTTATAATAATGTACAGACGAGAAGCAAAATACTTTTCTTTAAATACAAAATATTTATTGGCACAAAGTCATTAATTATAACAATGAATGGTTCCATTTAAAAGTCAGTCCTGCACAGTAGTATTGCATATAATAATATTTAAACAGACATATATTTATAATGAAAAGTTTATAGGATATTTAGAAAAATGTGAGTGGAAATAATAAGACCATATTACAATTATCACATGGGATGTTTCAAATCTGAATTAGGATAAGAAAAAATTGACATAAAAAATATCACGTTTTTTTCACTGGTTTCAACAATCAGTGAAAAGGCTGTGATATTTTTTATTAAGCATGAAAGGACAAATTATCACGGCCTTTTCACGGGATATTGAAATTTCATGGTCCTTTTCTAACATCAAATATTTTTCACGGCCTTTAGAAATATTTTTTTTACAAAAGTCACAGGGTATTTTCACGGGGTTTTCACGGCCCTGTGATATTTCACAGACATTTCACGGCTTTTTCATGGGCTGTTGTTACAATAGTGTCTGTATGTGCCTGTCCCAAGTAAGAAGCCTGTATTTCAGTGGTTGTCGTTTGTTGCTGTATATAATTTTTTTTCGTTTGAATTGCTTCACATTTTTATGTCCGGGCTTTTTATAACTGACTATACGGTATGGGTATTTCTCATTTTTGAAGGTCGTACGGTGACCCATATTTGCTTATATGGATGAGACCGTACTTTGACCTATAATGGTTTAATTTTATAAATTTTGACTTGGATGGAGAGTTGTCTCATCATTGGCACTCATACCACATCTTCTTATATCTATATAAGAAGATGTGGTATGAGTGCCAATGAGACACATCATTTGAACTCTGGTGGATAGTTGTCTAGTTGGCGTTCATACCATATCTATCTATTTATTTTTGTTATAGTAATTAGCCTATGTGGTTTGAGATTTCAATGTCATTTCGTCATGTGTTTGAAATTAACAAGAAATGTAAATGCTCAAAAATAGCGGGAAATGCAGTTTTGATTAATTCATAGGATAATACAGATTCAATCAGGATCTTGCAACTTATAATGATGGTCAGTAGGTAACAACTTTTTGACAAAGAGGCGATTTCAATTTTGCAATTTTAAACTTTCCATTTATGTAGCAGCATTGAAGGAGATACTGCATTTTGACAACATCTCTAAGTTGATGTCATTTTGAAGAACATACATTTCCTATTATGAATTCAGTGACAGAATTACTGCTATTGTATTTCTTTCCAGTTTACTTGTAATAGGGTTTATCGGCAATTTGTACATTTGACCTTTGATCATAATTCTTAATATTTGTTTAGATCATTGACAGGACTTGATTCTCGAAAATATTAGACAATGACGTCACGTATAAGTGTAGCAACGTCGCGTGTTCATGTCCATCTACATCAATGTATCAATGAAATGCACGCGGTTTCATTCATACAACCGAACATTATCACAACGTTTTGTACGGTATGAAGAAATAGTCTATCATCAGTGCAATCTACCTAACCATGTTTAACTATTATAAATGGAACTTTATACAGGTGTAGATAACTACCCGAGGATGTGCAATAAGGAATATCAGCCCTGTTTTACATGATAAAGGGAAGGTCATAGAATTTACCATCCTCAATATTGCAATAGGCATTAATTAACCCGTAAACGCAACTCCTCCTAAACGACTGAAAGAATATTGATGAAACGTTACACATTTATAGAATACTACGTGGGTGTGTGCATAACGGAATCATGTTCCGGCCTTGCATGTCAAAGGGGTCCTCTAGAAAACTGTAAAATTGTTTTTGCCTTTTACTTTTTGGGTGATAATCGACCGTAAATATTTACTTCAATAGTTTATTGTATTGCAACTTCTTCTGAACAGCTATCCACAAATTTATGTAACTGTTCAGTTAATTTTAAATTACCTGTTGATGTGCATAGTGGAAAACTGTCAAACTCCTACATGTTAAAGGGGACTCTCTCTCCTAGAAGACTCTTAAACTGTTTTTGCTAAAGTTTCTTTTTTTTGTAATTGTTTTTAAATTAGTCATATAGATTTGATGAAACTTTTAGTATTGCAGGACGAGGGGTATCCTTTTATGAGTTCCATCAAATGTCTACTTTCATTTGTTTTTTTTTATCGATTTTGTCACTTTTTTAATAATTATTATAACAGATGTAGTGCCTTTACAGCTTTACAGTACTATTTATAATATTCAAATTCCGTTATGTTACATCGAATTTCGTATAAGGCTGTGAGGGGCCAATTAAAAATTATTCATATATACATTCTATTAAGTCTTTCTGTGAATTAAAAGAATTATATAAAGCTACGAATGAAAGATATTCTATGTATAGCTATGGTTAATTATTTTTCATCATATATATAAATATATGAATAAACAGACGATGCAATGCATATACCCAGGGGTAAGAATATTCAGAACCAAATAAGAAAGTACCATTAAGGTATATATAAACACAAATACTAGCACTATCACTAATATTATATTCAATCTATCAAGTTATTTACTTTTCATTTGAACTTATACATTTCATAAATATATATAATTTGTAGTTTCGTTTTCTAATTTCCAAAGGACGGAAGTTTGCCCAATTTGTTTACAGTTATTTGGTTGAAAATGAAATATAATGACGACGTATAGTAAAATTATTTGCCTGTATAAGGTAGCATATGGAAAGATTCTACCTGCATAGATGCTCATGCTATTACATATTTTGTATTTATGTTGATGTAATCTTGATAAATGATCAATTCATATTGTTTAAAATTGTAGATTTGATACAAAAGTATGTATAACTTTAATATTATAATTGGTCACCAGTTCAAATTAAACAATACATTGACACGTTTATATTTATGTTACAAAATACATAATGCAGAACACATTTTTAGAAGGTTTTAAAGTATTTTTTTTAATTTAATTGAGAACGAAAGTAAATGTTTCTTGGTATTTAACTTTAAATAACTTCACATAAAAATATATACAGATGACTCAGTATACCCCGGGTAAGAACATTCATATGAAAAAGGCCATAACGGTTTAATTTAAATATACTATCACTTTCTGTCACTAACATTAGATACGTTCTATCATGTTATTTACATTTCATTTTTACTTAATAATATTTAATAAATATATAAATTTTTAGTTTCGTTTTGAGTTAAAAGGCTGACGTTTATTCTTATTTTATCGTTTGTTGGTTATAACTGAAATATAATGACGACGTATAGTAAAATTATCTGCCTGTCAGTGTATAATGTAGCATATGGAAAGATTCCACCTACATAGATACACGCGATACTATATTTTCCATTTATGCTAATGTAATCTTGATAACTTTACAGAAAAAAAGCAGCATGAAAACAATCAAACACCTATGCCTAACTAGTGATTACGTAATAACCATATCTTGTAACACAAGATAAACCAGTCGATTTATTCCTGTTGAAATATGTTGATGAATCCAAAACCGGTGATACGATATAATACAGTACCGGATTTGCATGAAAACAAGTAGAACAAGGTCAACTTAGGTACTCTCGAAGATTCAACAGTTTATGCTCCACTAATAACTGTAGTCTTGTTACTTCTGTTAGAACCCGTGTTTCAAATATATCATTTGATAAAGCATCATAAATAAAAATTTGTTACAATCTTGCTAAGGCAATCTACATCTGATGATAGAAAACATATATTTAAACGGTAAATGTACAGAAAAATTACATTTTCGGTGATAATCATGTCAGCAAACTTACGCTGTCTACTACCTTGTGATACATGTACCATCAGGAACGAAACGTCCAGCAGCAGTGGTATCGACCAGGTTCTGGCAAAATTCTTCATAGATATCAGGCTTATAATTTAGTAAGCCAGAAGCGCGCTTCGACTTCAAAAGACTCGAATGGTCACTGAAAAATAAAACTAGAGGCTCTAAAGAGCCTGTGTCGCTCACCTTGGTCTGTGTGCATATTTAACAAAGGACACTCTCCAACATTGTAGACGAGAATAGAATTCATGAAAGAAATCTCTGTTTTATTGATCTTGTATTACTGATCAGTTAGTCTGTTTAGTTTCTCTCTATCTTCTTTATTTTTTGCTCAAAACACAAAAGAAGGTAAAAAAAATCCTTATTTAAGGGCCATCACTCCTATAAAGAGTGACAGTCTACTAACTATATCGGCAAAATTTAACTTGTTATTAAATCTTACCTTGCTGATCATTATTGTGATTTAAAGTTTCTATTTATCTATTATAATTTTTATCATATTAGGCAAAACGCAAAACAAATGGTAAAGATAGTCATTAAATGGCAATAACGCCAATAAGGAGTCATCGGACGATTTCTTCGAAATTGTTTTAATTGTAGATCTTGTCTTGCTGATCATTTTTGGCTTATTTAAGTTTCTATCTATCTATTATAATTTTTAATATATAAGGCAAAAAAGCAAAACATTGGAAAAACGTCATCAAAGGACAATAACTCTAATACTAAAGAAGTTTACTGACGATTTCGACCATGACGACTTATATGTGGAACTTGTCTTGCTGATCATTTTTCCAATTTAAAGTTTCTCTCTTTTTATCATAGTTTTCAAGACAATAGGAAAAAAAGAAAAAAAATGGTAAAATTTGTCATTCAATGGCAATTACTCCTATAAGAAGTTGTCTGACAGTTTTGACGTATATGGACAATTGGAAGAGCTCAACATTCGGAACATTTTTACTCCATCAGATTTTCTCTATTTATAAAGGTTTTCAAATTAATAGACAAAACTTGCATTTTACCCCTATGTTCTATTTTTAGCCACGTCGGTCATCTTGGTTGGCAGGCGGAGTCATAGGACACATTTTTTAAACTAGATACCGCAATGATGATTGTGGCCAAGTTTGGTTAAATTTGGCCCAGTAGTTTCAGAGGAGAAGATTTTTGTAAAAGTTAACGACGACGACGGACGACGGACGCCAAGTGATGAGAAAAGTAGAATATCACACTGAAAACTACAACAAACGCAAGTGGTGCCCGTAGTGTTAAACATGACAAGAGCAAAATTTATAATAACTAGCATTTGGTGATGTCGCAATCGTGTAATAGATGTCAGGATTATGGCCACAACAAGTGAGGCATATCCATAGTCGTCTGTGACACAGATATTCCATAGCTGTCAATCAAAAAAATGATGGCGTCCGCAAAACGTTCTATATGATGGCTTCAATTTTACCATTTAAAACTAATGGCTTCCTTGTTACAATCAACCCGGTATCAAGAAAATCGCGATAGGAAACTCGAATCAACTGAGATATATATGTACATCATGTGCTATGCAGGCGCTGCCGGAATTGAATATAAAAATTTGAAACTTGAAAGTATCTCTTTTGTAATTTTGTAATTATAAAACATTACTTATTCTATTACCCATGGATTCGTGTAAGTTGTTTAAACCTTGTTATATAATGTATAAGTAAATGTGAACGTCCCTAACCATGCTAACGAAACTCATCATACCAAAATATAAAACAAGAGACTGTTACGTAGAGAAATGACACGTACAAACAATTTCAAATATGAAATATCAGAAACTAGAACGCATAAAAACTATTGCAAAAGCTAGAAGAGTCTTTTTGAAAGACATATATGCACCGGAACTGTAAGCAACTTTTGATTCATTAATTATACCTGTATGGCACATTAGAAGTAAAAATCCGATGTGAAATAAATGTGTGTCTGATACATCAACATGGAATATACTAATGTATTGTGTAAATTGCAAAATGATTCAAATTCACTACAGTAAGTGCTTCATTGTTTAAATCAATTTTCTTTGCAAAATAATGTATCTATTTTTCATGTTATTGACAACAAAGGCACTGAAGTAAATAGTGTGAACGCAGAAGGACCGCCAACAGGTCTGGCAAGGCAGGGTTTATCAATCAGAATGTCTTAAGGGCTAAATACAGGTGAGTGTTTAAGGTTTTTGTGTATATTTTGTCATTAAAATAATATTTCGTCCTCTGTCTGAAATTTTCGAGAAATTTAAATCTTAAACATGGCAAATATTGCAGTTTTGATTGATTGATGACACATTTTGATTTAGTAAAACACTTTGAATGGACAATATTTTACAAAAAATTCCCTTGAATAGTATTATGTTGGACTATATAACATTTTAAGCTAATGCATTTTTTGTAGAATTTTCAAATTGTATCGCACGGAACAACATTAAGATTTTCTAATATTGAAATTCCTCTAAATTTCAACAACGTTAATGTTGACAGTATGTTAAATATGTAAAAGCAGAATTAACAGGACTCTTTGAAATTACTGAATTATAAAACTATAAATACAATAGAGAAAACTCTTAACTGTGTATGCCTTATGTGTAATAGATTTTAAAATAAAACAAATTAGGATTTATTCGCAAATGTGATGGTTTACGATTGGAACAAATAACATGGGCGTTAAAAATTAGAAAAATGTAAAATGTAAAATGAAAAGTAATATTTTATGGTAACGGGTCATCAAATTTATAAACACAATCACGTGATTTTTTTGTTAAAGCACCAACAGTATTTTCCATCCTACACAGGGTATATTTTTTGCAGGTCTTAAAAACCACCTACTTATGTCTTCAACCAGAATAGTCGTCTGATCTATAATTTACCCATATTTCCTATTCACTACTAATTGTGACATTTTGATTGAGAGTTGAATTTGTATTGCGGTTGATACATGCATATCAGGAGGAGCGAATCCTGCTGATGTACCCAGTCTCGTTCCTTTTGTATTTCATACGAAATACGATTTACTCAAGTTTTATTTAAGTTGGATTTGTATATTCTGCATGGAATTTTGAGATTCAAATTTCTGTTGCATCTAATTGAAAAGATTAAATTCTATAATTTCTTTGCAAATTTAAATAAATATGCAACATACATGACATTTAATTGGAGGCTACATTGGTTAATGAATATTCAAATCTCTTAAATCCATTAATAGATACAAGTTAAGGTTAGAAACAAAAACGGAGGGAATCACATGAACTCCGAAAGGAGAAAAGACCGGTTACTTCGACAGGGTAAGCATCTTCTTCATTCTATGCATGAATCGCCCGTCATGTTAATCACACTCCGTCAAAATCTCACAATCGAGAAAAGGACAGAATTGGTTCATTTAAAGATCATACGACTGTTCTGTATTCAAAGATCAAAAACCGCGAAAACAAATCGTTGTTAGTATGTAAAACTATCTGATATACTGAACACAACACACCTGAAATTTTGTCAAGATACCCGATTTTTTTGTAAATAGGGCATGTCACAAAATTGCAAGCTATACTTTCCAAAGATTTATATAAATTGAGTCGTAAATTATAAAATCATCTTAGGATTAGTATTCAATATACAAAAAAAAAGTAAAATCACAAAAATACTGAACTCCGAGGAAAATTCAAAAAGGAAAGTCCCTAATCAAATCGCAAAAATTAAAGCTCAAACATATCAAAGGAATGGATAACTGACATATTCCTGACTTGGTACAGGCATTTTTTTAAGTAGAAAGTAGAAAATGGTGGATTGAACCTGGTTTTATAGTTAGCTAAGCCTCTTACTTGTATGACAGTCGCATCAAATTCCATTATATTAACAACGATGCGTGAACAAAACAAACAGACACAATAGGTAAAAATGTCAAATATAGGCTTACAGCAGTCAACATTGTGTTATCATCATAATCACTATAAACACAAACAAATGTCACAAAGAAGCACAAAAAGGCATACATCAAATTTAACAACCTCATTTTGCTTTTTTTATTATATGCTTTTATTTATATATGTAAAATCCACCCATAAAAGACACATTGGAAGTATCAGGATATGAACTCTGATGAGAACATATGTTTTTGAATCAATGCAATAAATATCTTTTCTGTTATTCGTTCCTTGGTTGCTGTCCCATAGCGTTTATTACAGATCTTCTTTTCTACGCCATTCGAGTAAGTTTTCAGTTTTGTTTCATTACGATTTCAATTATTTACATGGCGTTTTCAGCTCGTTTTCGACTTCTGAGTTTGACGACTCTTTGGTATCTTCCGCCTCTTTTTTTGAAAAATGTATACTTCGAAAGAAAAAAATATAAACGCATACATGTACTGACAAACCAAATATAAAAATGAGTTCCAAGGAAGAAAAGAATATGTTCATTTCTCTAATTGTTAAGGACCCTTATGCAGAAAGAATGTGTTCAATTAAACACAAAACCCGTGTGCTCAAATTTGATTATGAAAAAAGATGCATTGTTCTTCGTCGACTTTTAAATAATTCATTAGATTAAACGTCTATGGTATAAACCTTTCATCATGCAACTGAAAGAATCATGTATGTCCATGTTACATAATAGTTTCAAAAAAAAATTGAATAGTCCAGACTTATTGCTCACAAAGAAAATGGACAGTCAAAATTACCAATAAAAAAGCAATGAAAATTACGTGAAATTTCCTTGACTCAGAACTGCATATCCCCTTTATCTATATGATAACATCATGGCACAGGGAGTTGCATCAAATGTGAAAATAACACGTTATTTGCCACAATTTTTGAGAAATGACATTTAAGTGCTCATTATGATATAGGAAAATAATCACAATACACAACCGCTACTGAGGGAAATTGTTCTCCTTTAAAAACAAATACTTATTTACGTACATTCTTTAGACAGAACTAAGAAATTGCATGGATTATTTTAATTTAGGTCGAAAAGTAAAAAACGTTTTATCTATAAAAATTCTAATGAAGAATAAAAACGAACTTTTGGCTATAAGCACCACACCCCATCTCTGCCCAAGTAATTGCTTCTGGAAAAAATATCATAAACTAGGGTATAGAAATATGTTGATTCCTTGGTCTTCTTCCGACCGGCAGTAAAATTCGAGTCAAAGTGGGGCATCCGTTTGGTTTTGCGGGTTGTATAATTCACAGCCACGTTCCGTCAGAATGTGGAAGTTAAACATAACAATAAAAGTATTAATTTTTATAAAAGTATTTTGGTAAAATTGAGCAAAATGAATCGTGAATAATAGTTATGGGCAATTTTAACTAAACATTAATATCTAACTTTTTTAAAATTATTTTTCAGATGGGTGTTCATTATATTACTAACTATCTTTTGGTGAGTACATATCTACAATATTTCTTTTCTACGGATAACATATTAAATTGAAATGCTAGTAAAGTATGTACGAAATTAGAGTGTTTTTATTTCGGCTTGTCAAAGCATATGAATAACACCACAACCATTCTATTTTAGTAGAAAATTCTGCATTGACTGTACAAACATTTTTTATGCAATTAATATCAGTATTATATCGTTACTGTTTTAATACATGTTTCTTTCAAATTCTATTATTGACGTTGCGAAAAGTGTTTATCAACGACAAATAAAAGACAATTAGAGGATATTAACTTTTTAAATAGGTGTTTTGACAACAACAAAAATCATCTTATTTCTATATCAATTGTGAATGAATTTAACAGAACCAATCACATATCTGCCATTAACACTCAGTTCTGCAAATAACGAAAAACATAAAGATATGACACACGATAACTGACGAAGTTCCTGGCTGAACACAGTTATACGAGGTTTTTGAAGGTTCATAAGCCTCCATCTTTTTAATCTCAATCAGTAGATTAACAAAACTGACATGTCTACAATTAACAATTAACAATTTTAATCGAAAATATTATCTTCTGAATAATTAAAAGCTTTAACTGTGTCAATAATATACCCATATATTATCTCAAAATATGAATCTAATGTTTTACTTGATTCAAAACAAGATTATAATGCAAAAATGTGAAACAATTCAAAAGAGAAAAACCGACTGCATCTTCCACGTTAAAACAACATATGAAAAACAAACGTGGCAGAAAGGAATAAAAGACAATCACTGATTTAAAGGCCCCTGTCATGGGACAGGCCTATACACAATGTGGCGGGTTTAAATATTTTTGTGAGCGCTAAATCCTTCCCCCTTACCTGCTAAAGTGGTGTTACATCACAACATAAAAACAAACGGTAAAAATAAGTTTGAAAGGGCTTGTCCCATCATATCAGCTATGAGCACACACATTAAAAACAATCTAAATCCACATGCATACTGAATTCTATTTCAAATTCAACTACAACTAATCAATAAATGATGTTTTCTCAGACAAAAATATCAAACAGTGCACATCCAAGGGATTAAGGATAAAGATGTCAAAAACAGTCTGAGAAAACATGAACTTGTGCAATGCCAAAATACATGTACCGACAGGATATAAGACAATAAGTGTTTATAACTAAATAGTAATTCATCTTTAGCTGTTTTGTAATTCATTAACAAAATCAATGTCAGTACCGATGAAGTCTTGTTGTATATGTACTACATTGAATCTTCAATTCAAAGGTCGGATAGATCCGGGAATCACCCAATTGCCAAACCGATGAATATAAAATACAACATTAAAAAAAGTAAAAATAAAAACGACAATCGTTTATGTAGCGGGAGTTTATACAACATAGGAAAATTATATTCTTCGAACTACCTTGAATGCACAAGGAAATATAGGACTTATATATATAGTGAATATCAAAATCCAAAGGTTTTTTCCGGAATAACGTTCATCACGGATGTATAAATACGATAAAACTTTTCAAAGATAAATTTTTTTTTTAAATATTATTGTCAAGAGACTCGAATAGTGTTGGTCTCGAAAACAATACAATAAATGGAATGTCAGTAAAAATGTGTATCTTAAGACAAGTAGGTCCTCAAAATTTTGTATGCTAAAATATTATTCATGCATGTAATCTAGCACTCGAATAATGTTTTTTTTTGTGTCTTATTTTGAACCGCTGAATGTATAATTATCCAAGGTCAATAATATTGTAGATATCTACATTATGCTTTGAATGTATTGAAAAGTCAAGCGTAAAACTAGAAGATTGCATAAATGAAACAGAGATATTACAAAGAGCTGGCAAATACCCTTGCCATTTGCCATTACGATACCATTATATATGGAGTCCGTTTGATGGAACTTATGTTGAAAAATGTTTTCGTGTGCATACGATTGAACAAGGTATTTTTACATATCAATTATAGCATATTTTACTTTGATCTTTTACATGTCTTTTAATTTATTGATTCACAAATATCAATGTAAAGCAGAGGAAATGAAGATGTTTTTTGTATTGCCCTTTTAAGAAATAAAGAAATTTTATTAGACAAAGTGGGACGTACCATTGCATCTTTTTATCTGCCACTCGAAAGCTTATAAAGTTCATGTCATGGAAATCTATAACTCAAATTTTTGATAAAAGTGGTAGCCTGAGTGTATGGTTTCCTAAAATTGTAAAAAAATTCACACGTCAAGCAAAAAAGGTATATTCAAAAGAAAGCAATATTGCCATTACTAAACAAAAACCTGCTATTTCAGGGATATATATCAGATATATCACAGAATGTGAAAAAAAGTTGCTAAACTATAATATTATGATTTATATTGTTGCCAACCGATGTTTTTAAGCATTTTGTGTCCATGAACTCATTAAGTAAAAGATACGCGATAAACGTCCATGAAATGGACGGTCATCTTACAATGCACGATAAAAAATAAACATTAAACATTTAGATGTGAAAAATAGCATTAAAAGATTTATACCGCCCTTTGTAGATGAGAATAGTTTTTCAACAAAGCCGACTAAAGATTTGAAATTAACTCCATACACCAAAATAAAAAAAAACACATGATCAAAACAAAAATCTTAAAGAAAAATATAGTTATGGAAATAGCACACTGTTACTTATTATTTACTTATTATATATTAGTAATAACACGTATTTTGAAAAAAAACTTATATTATTCAATTAATTTCAAAGCAAACTCCTTTCGTCCCAAATTACCTTTTTTATTTCGATGTTTCTGAAATAAATTAATATAAAAAAAAAAATCCTGAAGATACCTGTGTAAACTTTTGTTTTGCAGGTAAATTCATACATGTATTCAATTGAGAGCATTTATACTTTATCCCAATGCAAATTGTACGAAACTGTCCAATGTTTAAATCAATCTTCACTTCTAGACAAATATCACTTATGTATGGCATTTTAATAAAGTTTTGGGTAAAATTTGTATGAAAACTTAAATAAGAATACATCACGTTTCCATTATGGTAATAACTAAACTATTTTGAGAAAGTAATTGTAACTATTACTGATTACTTTCGTCAATAAATACATAACAAAAGAGATACATTTACATTCAGCAATGGAATTAACGTATCTCTAACACATTTTTTTTTTATCTGTAATCATATGCACAATAACGAAACAAACTTGTTTATTTTAGGATACATGCCAGTGATTGATCATCAATCTGGTAATATTAATAATGCTGATTGTCCAGAAGATACATTTCAACCTATACCATACAAATCTAACACACAGTGTGGGTGTGCCTTAATGAAATCAACATGCAACGGTATTGGCCAAGTAATATCTACCAATGGATCGACAGATAAAGACCGAACTTGTCGCTGTGATTACCTCAAAGGATACACATACGTGAATATGCCTGCTGATAGATGTAATTGTAAACCAAAAGGAGAGAACTGTACATGTAAATTGATGGAATGTCCAAACGGATCAAGACTATCCCCTGGTAATATATTTTTACAAAGTAATAAAGTCTTGCAAGCTCTTAATTGCTCCTAGTAAATATAAACATATAGGAACTATTGTATGTTCTTATTCCCTCAAAAATAACTTTGATGCAGAAATAACAAGCTTAGTCGTTGAGGTTTAAAACTGGTATGTATGACTCAAAAGAGCAAACCCTTAAATTGTTTTATGAAAAAGCACGTAATTGTGTCTTAATGTCATCAATAGTGGGGATAAAGGTAAATAACAAGCGAAATCAAAAGACTATTTACTCAAGATGTGCACATATTGTTGGGTAAAACTTGAATTTTATATTTTTTGTGTCACTAAAAAATCTTCAAAAAGAACTCAAACCAGAAAGAACTTGTGATTTGATCATATATAATATTGAACTTTCACAAAATCAAAATGCTTTTACATGAACACATTTATGACAAGGAATGCTGCATTACTTGTCTATTGCGTTATCTGTAATTGTTTACCGTTTGATGTAAATGTTTAGTGTCTTGACAGCGCATATGGGTTAAAAGTTAACTGGAAGTAAATACTTGATCCTTCAACTCCGTCGTAAAAGGCTGTCCTTTTTTAAATTGAAGGAGGTTGTGTAGACTGCTCCTCTCTTCCGATCAAATAAACCAGACAAGTCTGGAGAATACGTCTGCTTTTTACAGGAGGTTACATTTTTTAAGCTATTGAAACAAAATAGTTATCAAAAACAATTGGAAGAAATAATATTATGACAGGGAAACAACAAATTATAAAGACGCATCTCACTTTAAGTATGTAAAAACGAAAGGTAAGACATCGATGAAATATCGTAGAACCAAAATCAGAACTCCTTCCTCATTAATCGAATGAGTCAGTTTTGGTGGTTGGTTTGGTCTGTTGTACTGTCAAAAAATAATGTTTATTACTGTAATCCTTCTTCTTCAGTGTTAAAAGAGCAATACAATGGGATTCAAAATCTTATATCAGCCAAACAAGAAGCCTACACTAGTAAACCAATTTTAATTTGAAGCGATCATTTTGATCTGAGCAGCTCTTAAAAGACAAAAAAAAAATAATTAAGTCTTTTCGGAATTTCAGTAAATTGCCTGAACACTTTGGAGATAACAGTAGTCTGAAAATTGACTGAAAAACTAAACATGACTGAACAAGATATGCGAAAGATACCAGAAGGACATACAAACTCATAAGTCGAAAAAAAAAACTGACAACGCCATGGCTATAAAAGAAAAAGACAAGCAGACAAACAATACACAAAACACAACATAGAAAACTAAAGACTAAGCAACAGGAACCCCACCAAAAACTGTGGGTGATCTCAGGTGCTCCGAAAGGGAAAGCAGATCCTGCTCCACATGTGGCACCCGTCGTGAATTTACTAGTGCTATTAATTACCTATGCATACCTTCATAACTGATAAATACTTGTAGATCGAAAAAATCTACACTTAAGCAACTAATGTAATCCAAAGTAAGGTACCTCATAAATCAAGATGTGTATCCAGGAACAAGGAAAATAGCTTGGAATGAAATACAATCAAATCGATTTACTTTGGGCTCTGTTACGTGCCTAAAGATTTTGTTTCACGAACTAATGTACTTTATCCCGTATTTGCATTACTCGGGAACATCAAAACCCAATGAGAGGATTGTAAGATAATACTCAAATGAGAATCCCTCAATATGTTTAGAAAGCGATAAGGATTATTTTATGCCTAGCCGAAATACATGTCTGTTTGCATGATAAATAGCTAATGACGTCAAATTCTGGATAAGCACCTAACCTGAGTTTGAACATGTTCTCTAATTGCTAACTTCTTTAATAAAGAGTAAGGATATGACAAACATGTCCAAAAATAGAACGTGGGGGTGATGTATGGTAATTGTCGGTTGGACTATAATAGGCATATCTTAAAACAAACATCAACTACAACCTCTGGATTCGCTATTCAATGGATATCTGTAAATAATTACAATTGACTTATGTTTAGTTAAGAACAAAAGTAAAAACTGTTTCTTTTTTATTCTTATATACTGAAATGCTGATTCCATTTACTTTGGAAGTCGGAAAATATTGCCAGGCTAACTGGACCTAATTTTGCTTGTTCTTTGACTGTATTTGTTCGTAATTTTATTTTTTGGAGAAATTGAGTGTTTGTGGTTGATGTGGTACATTTTACTGTCCAAAATTATTGACAATTTCTATAAGTTTTAAAGCAGCAACCCAAAATAAAGGAACTGTTTGCATATCATATCAACCAACTTGGACGTATACACTCCGTATTCAGCAACGGCTGGAATATTGATACATCAGAATGGGAAATTGACAACAGGCAAAACAAATCATCTCTTTTTTCCTTTTCTCAACTGACAACACCTTGCAATTGAAAAAAAGAAAGACAAGAAATATGGCGATATCCGTGCTCTTTATTGATATTTAATAGAAAAGGGTGATCAACATAGTCACCATTTTTTAAAAATTATTCAGGACATCAATAAATATAGTTGACACTGAACTTACACGAATACTGAAACATGCTCCTTACCTATTGTCTAATTGCCTTCATTTATTAGATTTTAGTTTGGTTCAACGAAATTTATATGATATATTTGGTTTACAGTTTGATTCAGAAGAAACACCGACATAGCTAGATAATACAATTAATTATCTAATTACTAACAACACAATTTGATATTAATAAGTATTGTAATTTTCATTGTTATTAATAAATGTAATGTCAGTATTACAAATCTAATCTTGAATCAATCATAATCCTATCTTATTTTTGGAAAATATTTTTACAAATTCAAATGTGACGTCACTTTGTGTGTTTTTTAGAATTTCAAATGTGACGTCACTTTGTGCGTTGAGGCTTTGGCTAACTCGGCTGTGTATTTTTATGTGTTGGATTAAGTTGTGTTATGTAATGTATTCGTTTTTATTCTGTAGTTAGTCCCCACTTCGGTTTTATCATGTATATCTATTATATAGTCATTTTAAAAAATTTACTGTTTGCAAAATTATAAATTATTCTAAATAATAAGGATGTTCTTGTCCCAGGCAGAAAACCCTGGCCGTGTTAGGCGCAACTTTTCGGAAGTTTTGGTCCTCGGTGCTCTTCAGCTTTGTACTTGTTTTGGCTTTCAAACTTTTTTCATCTGAGCGTCACTGGTTGGTCTTGTGTGGACGAGACGCACGTCTGGCGTATTGAATTTTAAGCATAGTACCTTTTGTTAGCTATTATTCGTGTGTTTCTTTGTCCTATATGTTCTCCCATTTATTTGTATTGTGGTCCTGTCATGTGATGTTGTCGTTTTGGTGTTGTGTTTGACGTTGCCATAAAAGCGGGAGGTTTGGCATGCCACAAAACCAGGTTCAACCCACCATTTTTTTCTTAAAATGTCCTGTACTAAGTCAGGAAAATGGCCATTGTTATATTATAGTTCGTTTCTGTGTGTGTTACATTTTAATGTTGTGTTTTTGTTGTTTCGTTGTTCTCCTCTTATATTTGATGCGTTTCCCTTAGTTTTAGTTTGTAACCCGGATTTGTTTTTATCTCTATCGATTTATGAGTTTCGAACAGCGGTATACTACTGTTGCCTTTATTTAAAATATCCTCAAACTTTATAATTCAAAAATATTTCGTGTCAGTCAGTAGGATATTTTAGACTTTATTCAATACAACTTAATGTTTATTTTTTGTTTTGTAGACTACGTGTGTATTAAAAAAGTCAGATACCTGAAGACCAATCATAGTTGCCAAATTCTTGTTGAACACAGGTAAAATTGGTTAGCAAGCATTCAAATTAAACTGAAACGTTTATATTTGGAAATTCCCTTAAGGTTTAAGGTTAAATCCATATAACGCATGGGTCAATTATCACCTTTTAAAGAAAAAGAAATGATGCGTTATCGATACCGACACAACAATTCATCGATACAAAAAATAGAAGATTTTCATTGAAAGACAGATGCCTTAAACTGTGTCAAGCTATAATACGTATTAAAAATGTTGTTAATTAGAGATAATCAAAGAAAATTTTAATAAATGATCAACAAACATCGACACCAAACAAAGACAAAACACTCATGAGTTTTTTTTTTGTGCATGTTTGATAAATTCCAACCTTTTTTCCTTTTAGATAAAAATAAGATGTGGTATTATTGCCAATGAGACAACTGTTCACTAAATTTCAAATGAAGCGGATGTAAGCAATGATAGGCAACCGTACGGCTTTCAACAATGAGCAAAACCCATACCGAATAGTCGGTTTTAAAAGGCCCCGACATGAAAAATATGAAACAATTCAATTGAGAAAACTAACGGCCTCATCTATAACAGAACAATTTACGAAAAACAAATATGACAGACATGAATCAACGAGAACCACCGAACTACGGGCTCATGACTTTGGACAGGCATCTATAGAATCTAGCGGGGTTAAACTTGTTTGCTGGCGCCTAACCCTCCTCTAACCTGGGACAGTGGTTTAACAGTAAAACATAAGAACAAACTATAAAAATCAGTTGAAAAGAGCCTAACTCATCAGATCGATACAAAGCAGAAAATTAAAACATCTAACAAAAACACAGATCGGACGTGGCAGGGTATTTATACATCCAACAATAAGAAAGAAACTTCTAATATGGAACAGTGACATGACAAAAGGGTACACGATAGATCATAAAAACGTCAGAACTGGAAAAGCACTTACCTCAACAATTCCGATATCATTTGAACAGGAATACCAGTAAAACATTATGAGTAAAAAATCCTTGTTTGCATTTACAGAAAACTCGCAGTGACTGAAAAAAAGCCTTAAGAATTAAATGTTGATAATGATAATAGGAACGTCATATACCAAACAGCTATACAAGAACTTTAGTTATGCCAAGAATAAATGTGTTCAAAATTTCGATACAGCAAAAACCAAAGAAACGAAATAGTGTTGCTTCAAACAATGAATCAGCGAATAAACATTCCTCTTGAAAAATACCAGACATATTTTGGGGCCCGTTATAGCTTGCTGTTCGGTGTGAGCCAAGGCTCCGTGTTGAAGACCGTACTTTGACCTATATTGGTTTACTTTTATAAATTTTGACTTGGATGGAAAGTTGTCTCATTGGCACTCATACTACATCTTCTTATATCTATATATGTATGAACAAACAAGAGTATAATGATGTAATACTAGTTAAAATAGGCATATCAACCTAACTGAGAAGTCCAAATTTTACTAGAAGGAGCCTCAAAATCAAGGAAACGAAATAAACAATTCGGAGATATATTGATTGTTGGTTGCTTAACGTCAAGTGGCAAATATTTCATGCATTTTCAGGACGAGAACAAATTAACAATAAATACCATAGGTAGGTCTTGTAATAAAGGCCGTCCGGGATGAAGGTCGGGGAAATTTAGACTGCAACTGGAAAATGAGGGTAAATTGGATAGGGAAAAACAATTTTGCCTTGCAACAGGCCACCTACGGACCCCTCAAACAGTTGCTGCAAGGGTTCTTAACGTGCAGAGAGCGTGGTACTCTCTCTACATGAGGCATCGGATTTAACGTCCCCATTCTGATCGGACTTAGTTGCGTACTTGTACATCCTGCACAGCAAAACGGACGCCCCTCTTTTGCATGGGTTTTACTGCCGGTCGGAAGAAGACCTGAAGTGACCATTTTTTTTTATTCCCCAGTCACCTAAGGGACTAAAAGGACCACTTTCAGTTTTAACATTCGATTTAATAAGAGTAAGTTAAGGTTTATAAATATTATTGGTGAGATGAAAGTCTGGATTACTTACAGTAAATTCGTAGTCTAAGTAGCCGTATGTATTGTTACAAACTACATGAACATGATTACCGTTAGATTGTAATGACATTAAGCAATCAAATATTATTCAGAGCAGTAAAGGAGTACATCTGCAATGACAAGACGAGCATGTTTAGTCCAAATACCAATCATTTGACGGTATACTCACTATACTTTTTAGACAGTCGTTTTTTTGTGTTTTTTTTTCCGTTTGAAGTATTTCACACTTTAAGGTCTTTTACATCTGACTAAACGGTTTGGGATTTGCTCATTGTTGAAGACCGTACGATGACACATGAACTGCGACGGATAGAATTCGAACTTATGCAAATGAATATCAATACATCTGTTTACCTATTTTGGGTTAAACAAATCTCTACGGAAAGCCTGTAACTGTTTGAAAATTGAGTTGTTATAAGAATCCTACAAACAGACCAACATTCGTCTTTATTTCGTATTTGAATGTTCCAAAAAATCAACCAAAGTCTTGTACATGTATATACGTGCACTTGCATAAGGTCGATTTCAATCCGACGCAGCTCATATGATTGTCAATGAGACAAGTATTCACTAGTGGCCAAATGACTTTAGTTCCTTTCTGGTTGTTGTTTCTGTGCTAGTGTTAATAGTCCTTGTAGGGAAATCATTATGTAAAATAAGAGAAAGAAGATATCAAGGAGCATTCTAAAATCACAAGTCCAATAAAAACGACGAAAGAACTAACAACAAAATATTACTGATAGTAAGACAAACAAACTGTCAGAGGACAATAAAGGTTCAAATAAAAAGGAAATATAAGACTCTTGAAATTGTAAATACCACGATTCACATTGTTTAAGTTTCAGTTTTTTATAACGGGTTTCATAAAAGCCGAAAGTTCACTGGTCAGAAGAGTGGAAATGTATAAATTTCCACATGTAAGGAAAGCAGATATACAACCAAATTGATAAATTTCTTGTGTAATTTAAGAAGAAAAAACAAAATTGAAATGTGTGTTGTTCAAGAAATGCTATGATGATGTCTGTTTTTATCAAACTTGTGGGTTGTGTTTGTCCATTTGGTATCTTCTACTTCTTTCCGTGTCTACTTAGTTCTTTCTTTTTCATGAAGGAAAGTTGAATTAGTGTCGCAGGCGAATATTTTTTTTGTTTTTTAGTAGTTAATATAATGTGATTTACAAACAAAAACAATATTTTGGGTGCTTTGTCTGCAAGGAAAATAATACATTGGTCATCGAGGTAGGATAGGTACTTAGCAATATTTCGATCTTCGACAAATGACGTAGAATGAGTGTTCATATACCGTTTACGAATTTTAATTCTGGTTCTTTTCAACGAACTCACAAATATTACCCATTCTATAATAAAAATTATCTTCGTCTTCTTTTCATGTTTTCTGCTAACCCTGTTGGAGCATCTATGATCACCTTCGGAATTTGGTCGGTTTTGTATTGTGGGTTATATTTTGTAGATTATTGTTTGTTTTTCGGCGTTTTTCGTTTTTTGTCACTTTGTCTTCCATATGAGTTTGAATACCCTTTGGTATCTTCCGCCTCTCTTACCCATTGTCTGGCTAAATCCGACACAAAATCCTTTAGTGTTTTAATGTGTGCTTCGTTTTTAAGATGATTCGGTCTATACATGTCTTGTAGAGAATGTTGAGATCACAAGTTATAACCTTGCCGACCAGATAATATATGTAAAAGGAACAAGGGCATAATGAATCAGGAAGTTTTTTAATTAAGTAATGAAAACATTGAAATATTTGAATAATGAAGGAGAATGCATATGATGTTAAAATTCATGACACAAAATCATGACACGTTTTTTTTTTTAATCTTTTCATTAGAATGAGTCGAGGAAATGAATCCAACCCAACAGATGAAACATTTCCAGAGGGTAATAATTTATCTCAATGTTCAAACATACTTTCTATTCTCATTTATTCATTGATACATATATTTAATTATTGCAAATTAAACAGACTACAAAGCAGGAGGTACGATAAGAACCGTTTTCTCGTCCATGAAAATGCAAGATTAATAAAAACGTTTTGCAAATATGCCTTTAAGAATTATACAATTTATATTGATAAATAAGTAGGATGATCAAAATAGTGCACTTAAGTACAGACATGTCACTTAAATGGCATAAACGGTTGAAACGTATATATACTTGACCTGAATTGGTTATTTTACTCATAGTTTTTGGCAAAATTAAATAAGACCCAAAGCCTTACCCCAAAAAGATACTTTATTACATTAACATATTATCATAAGACATTTTTCACCACATTGTCTTTTTTGGTAAATCCATTGCCTGAATATTACAGGAAAAATCTCAAAGTGAGGCAATCTTTCGCAATTGTTTTCAGTTTAATCCGGTTTCCTTGAATAGTTTTTACATTAAATGTAAAAAGTTTGAAGCCTACAAAAACTTCAAAAAGGTTTATACTGATACTCGACAGACTTATATCATATGACCATCTGAGAGATGTAATTTAGTAAATATACAATTTTCTTTAACATTCTAGTTAAAGGGGTCAAAACCTTCTTTTTACACATTTGTACAACAACAAATATTGACTTCAAGATAAAGTGAAAACGATGCTCAAGAAACATTGTTAATTTCTAAGACCTGTGAAACATATATTACTTAAATATTGAACCCAATAGTTTGTTTACCAATTCCCGTAATCGACCCTTTAATTAGAGATCCCTTTTTTAGTTGTCTCCCTTAGGTGGGCCATAACTTTTATTGACAACGGAGAGCTAGCGGAAAGAGCAAATTTATCTGTGTGTAATGTATGTAACCTTTAAGTTTTTCGAATCTTTTAATTACATCTAATTTGTTGTTAAGCTAAATACCCTTGATTCCAGAAGATATTTTTCACAAAAAAATTGTTAAAACACCAATACATTACTTTCAACCTATCATGCTCATGCCAATTTTGTCCAGTAAGAATCAGTCAACGATTGCCAAAGGGAAGTTATTTGTTTAAAAAGTGGAAAATGGACCAATACAACTATCATAGATTATAATCATTCGTTTTGTATATGCTTTACAGGTAAATTTTCATGTTTTTTAAGTAACTATTCAGCACTGACACATTTTGTCATTTTTGAGAAAAATAATTCATTTTTTTTCAGATACAAATAACTCTGTAATAGGCATTTTAATATGCATTCTTTTAAGCAGCCTGGTTAGCTTTTGTAAGTATATCTGTATATATCAACTCCCATTGATTAGGCGTTACGTTAAATAAAAATCCAAAACAACAACACATGTTACGAGTATGATCGGTTACAAATTTAATATACGTAGGAGTGACCTAGCAATGCAAATATCCGAAAATAAAATCGTCAATTAAATATTCCATTTGTTACTGAATTAAAACTGGTCAATACAGTATACAGTTTTGGTCCGTAAAATTTGTTAATATCCAAAATTGCCAACCCTAAAAAGTTATTTCCCCTGAGAGCACAGCCCGAAGTGAAAGAATTGTGGGTATTCATCGCTTATAAGAGGCCACAATTGTTTTATTAAAGTGAAATAGTCCTTGTCTATTCGTCACTCGCTGGGCTTCGTATCTGACGTCATTTTGATGGGGAAAACTTTGTGTAGAAATCAAGACGGCCAAAAGGTATTATTCCACTGTTTAAACATATTGATAGTTTAATCAATATTTGATTGGTTGAGACTATCCCACGTGTCATTGAACAAATCTTCATATTCCATTCTGAGGATCATATTCCCCTCTGAAATGTCGGGATTACTTCGTGCGACGTTACGCGCGGTTAATGTACATAACGTTTTGAACTTCGTATTCTTCTTAAAATAGCGATAGCAAAAATCATTATCATGTTCAAATCTATTTCGGACGATAAAACAAAAAGACTTGTAATTAAATTTTGATCCTAACTGTTTATCAATGGGTATGTCATGTTTAGTTTGACTTACAAAAACAAGCGGATAAGAAAAAAAATGAATGCAAAATAATATTTAATGTATTGATAGTAAACAAAGCATAGGCAGTGGAATAAAACATTCATTTCCCTTTGCCTCGGGAGATATGAAGATTTGCTCACCCTCGAAAAATCATATTTCCCTCGGGCAGAGCCCTCGTGAAATATGAATATTCTTGGGTGAAAAAATTTTCATATCTCCCTCCGGCACGGGAAATAAATGTATTATACACCAATGAATAATAGGTTTATTCATCGCTGGATGTAAATGTTTATGGTTATTCGCCCTTCTTGGCATTTAAATGACAGTTAACTAAATTATTTCATGTCACGTGATAATGTGTTATCCAATAAAATTGATTAACATTATATGTAAGATATATTAATAAAGAAAATACTCAGCAGCACAAATAACGCACCACTTCTTCTCGTATATAGATAGAAGTTTAAAATTTTTTTTTTTAGTTTTTACTAAAAATTTGCAAAATTACAGTATAAAGTCTAAAGTTTTCTATGTTGTGTTTCGTGTACTATTGTTTGTCTGTTTGTCTTTTTCTTTTTAGCCATGGCGTTGTCAGTTTATTTTCGATTTATGAGTTTGAGTGTCCCTCTGGTATCTTTCGCCCCTCTCTTAAACATAACTCTGAAATGAATCCATGGTTTGCAGACAAATTTTTGTTTTAGTGGCGTGAATCGGAATTTCATCAACAACAAAAATTTAAATAGTGTTGTTTTGATAAGTTTTGAAAATTGAAAAATTAGCAAAATCTCCATATTCACATAGTTTGATGTTTATAAGTCTTAAGAGTTCTGCAACGATAAAGAAGATGTCGATTTCAAAGTAGATACTTCGTCAAATATTATCAAATTTCAATATTTTATATACCTATATTTCATGTATTTTAGGTTTGTAATTTATTATTACACTTGTATATCAATATTCTATTCATAATTCGAATATAATACATAATGTCATTTTCTTTCTTCAAATTAAAAGAATTTACGATTTGATAAAACAAATGGTTGCACGAAATACAACAACAATGTGTCAAGATAGTGATGATGTATAAGTTCGGCGGAGCATTCTATAATCTTGGGTTGTTTCCATATAAATGGGTTGTTTGCATACAGATTTAAAAAAAAAAAACAAATGACGGAAACACATGATTGGTTTTAAACCAATAAAAGAACAGGATTTGTATGAATTTGACATCGACTGTAAATATACAAGAATATATTATATATTATAAGAAATTATATAAACGTAAATATATATTACTTAAATATGAATGTTTTTAAAATGAAACTATTAACAAACCAAGGTACGAGCTTATATACTTATATCATAGTTATGAAGTATTCCTAACATTTATTTTATATGTAAATCATGGTTCGGTGTGTAGCTTTAGGAGCCGTTGCTGGTGTAAACAATTGGTTTTCTAAAATCAGAGGTAAGTTAATTGATAGCATTTGTTTTCTGTATATGTAACAAATATAATAAAATATGTTGAACCAATGTGCATACGTCATTACATAAAGCAATAATACAAACATATACCACATCTTCTTATATCTAATTAGATATGGTACTGTACAAACAAAATGGTTACTTATAAATTACTAGCATAACTACCAATTACATGTTAATATATATGATGACCATAGGAAACAGTGCCCTCTTACAAGTGCGTCTGTTACGTTTAAAATGTACAAGTATTAATTCATTCATTTTAAAGGGGTCAATTTACAAAGCCTCTCAGATACTCTTATCATCAAATGATAAAATCACTTCATTTAAGAATGTATGCAAACATATAAGTATTGGGTTTTTTTTACTTTGGAATAATTACGTTGGAAATAAAATAGTTTTTATTTGGAATTATGCTTTTGTTTTGTTTGTTATTTTATTACTTTTTTCTGACTTAGAGGTAATAACCAAATGCTATAGATCTAGATGCAACACTGGAGGCAACCATTCACAAACATGCGACGAAGAAGAAAGTAAGTAAAACGATGTCACACTTCATTCCTTTTGTAAAACTGTATTTTTACTTTGACCATGGAGACATATATTAGAGTATTTTCAAAATGAGTATTGCGGTTAAAACGAGCTTTAATATGAACTTAAATAATAAGAGAAAATCGTCTGATTATGTTGAAATAAAAGAATGATTAAATAAAATAGATCCGAGAGTTTTTAAATGAATGTTTCTTTTGTCTATTATTGCAGGACATCCATTGCAAGATACAAATGAACCCAAACAAGAAGAAAACGTGACACGCACGTCAAGCAATTTTGTAGATGACATGGAAAAGACTACTGTAGTAAATACAACAGAAATAAAAGAAGAATGCGGTACTATTTTGTTTGATAAGACCTAAAACATGTTACTAACCTTATTTCAGTTTATGTCTTACCCGCACTGAAAGCACTAAACAATTCTCAATAATCCAAACTTAACTTTGAAGTATAGCTTAAGTTGACTTTGCCTGAATCTGAAACGTTCTCTAGCTAATTTGAATTATCTCTTAATCAAGTCTGAACTGTATTTGAATGATGCTTATCCGTAGTTAACAGATAGTGAATTTTACTGTTAAAAGTCGGAGAAGTTAAAACTATTTTCAAATTATAAATGCGATATAACTATCAAGTAAATGCCAGTTTGTTTCAGACTGTATAGTAATTCAGTATACCTGCTCACAAATCCTTTTCTGACATTTCGATCATCATTTTTTTTAATGCAAATCGTTTCAATAAGAAAATCTCACACAGTTAGTTGCGCTAACCTAAAAATCATCAACAGTCAATTTTATTTAACATTTATATACTTCTTACATAGATAAAAAAAACTTGGTATGGCTGTCTCAACTTTTTGATCTTTTGAATAGATTATCAATTTTACACTGAGGTAAGATCTTAGAATATCGTCTAGTCGATATTTGTTTTTTGGTATAACATAATGTCGTGCTTTCGCAGAAAGTTTTAGACATCTTCATCCTAAATACGTAGGACGTGTATTGATTGATATTTAAGTCTAGGAATACATGATATATTTATTTATTGTAATTGGCTTTTTACTAGCTTTCAGTAACTACGAATACTATTAGATTTTTAATATTGATTTTTACATTAATTTCTTATGGTGTTTTGTTACACCACGTTCCAGGTAAGCGGATGGTGGCGCTCTCAAACATTTTTATGTACCTTTCCCAAGTCAGAAGCTTCTAGTTCTTTTATTGTTGTCTACAATATTTGTTTTTGGTTTATGGTCTAAGTTTAAACGTTTGTTTTCTCGTTTGAATTGTTACCCATTTTGTCATTTTGGGGCCTTTTATAGCTTGATGTACGGTATCCGTTTTGCTCATTGTTGAAGGTCCTACGGTGACCAATATTCGCTAACATCTACGCCCTGTGACCTCTGTCTCATTTCAAGTCATACCACAACTCCTTATTTTTTATAAGTATAAAAGAAACAAAACACGATTACTTTCGTGAGAAAATATATAAACATTTTTTTGTAACAAACATTAACATGAAAATAATAAACGGAAAAGATTTATTTCAAGAAAATTTTAATTCTTTTAGGTGAGATGTCAATGACAAAAAAGCAGCTGCCATCCAGGAGAGATGTAGATGTTAATGTGCAGTATGAAACCAAGTACCAAGGTAAACACATGTTTGTTTGAAAAAGACCACATGTTGACCTGTAGATTGTCATTTGTTAAGCATTTCTATCTTGAATAACACGAATGGTTGTCTGATCTATGCATAGGCCATACGATGACATGTAGTTGTTTAAATCCGCTTCTTTAAGACTTTGTTTGACATCTACCTCATTTGTAATCACACAACATCTCCTTATTTCATGTATACCGATTGTGTACTGTTGCATACTGTGATATTTTCACTGAGTCATGGTGATAAATGCATAGCAGAAAACGCTAACCCCATCGACATACTCAGTCTCTTTCTTGTTTGAGTTGATTCGCTCGGTTTATATTTCTAGGTTTGTACATTCAAAATGGACTATTATCTATTACTTAAGATTGTAAATTTAAGAAAAAAATCAATCTATAAATCTTATATAAATAAACAGATTTTGAACTGAGACAGTTTGTGTCCGATCGTAAATGACTGAACAAAGAATAAGGAAATTATGTTTAATCACTTATTTTACGGTGTTACATTTAGCATTGGATTTTCCCAATCTCTAGTCTTTAAGGATTTTGTGGTTTGTTAACGGTTTTTAGACTTAGGATATGAATTATCATTTTTATTTCAAAATTACGGAGAAAAGATTCATTTAAAGGCAGTTCAATAGTTTCATTATATTTCAGATGAACAGTCCATGGAAAACAAACAGCGAAGAAGTTCTTTGCCATCAAGTCCGATAGTTGATGTGCATTCTAAAACCAAATACCTAGGTAGAAATTACCCTCAAGAAATTGGTAGAAAAAAAATTTATATATGCTGAAATATGTATCTAAATTTGTTCAGCAAATTGAGTTAGATACGCAGTTCAGAAAATAAACAGCGCTGTACATTTGTGGATAGATATTTTTTTTTATCGAAGCAGCGTTTCGATCTTACACTCATTACATTTAACAACGAATTCGAAAGTCATCTGAGGTATTTCGGTAAATTAAGATCGTCGCAGCATTTTCAGTTCTTAAGGTACTATTTACCTTCACAAAATATTTATAAATGAATTTTCTTAAGGTCAATCATCAGAACATTGTCGATTGAAAGTTAAATGCCTGAAAATTATTAGAGTTACCGTTAGGAGATTGTCAGAACGATGTCCATACAGGTCTTGCAATGATTTATTGTAATGTTAAGACTATGTTTAGATAAAATTGGATATTTATCTTTAAAGTTCATTTATCAGATTAAGATAAATACATATTCATACCACATCTTCTTATTTATGGTTAGTATTTTCAAGCCATATTTATCTTTTTCTTTACATAATTAAACTAGCGGACATTTCACGTAAACTCTTTATACACAATCATTGCTATATCAAATGGGAAAAGTGCAAACACAAGTTACATATACAGAAGAAACTAAATACAAAAAAAGCATTTGCTAAGGTAGACCATCTTTCTGGTTAAAACCATAACAAGAACGCTCATGTCAAAAACAGATTGCTAAAGATTAATCTAAGTAAAAAATCTATTCATGGGTCATAATTGTTTGAAGTATTTTGGCCTATAATGAAGGTACTGTGGTAAGTTGTGCTTGATCTCACAGGTATGATCGTATGTCAAGACAAGATAAACGCTTGTATCATGGAAAATTATGTGTGACCAACACACTATTTGATCTTTGAGATAATGTTCGAGGCAACAGTAGTTTACCGATGTTGAAATCTCATAAACCCATTAAAAATTACAAATCAACTAACAAAACAAAAAGTAAGGGATTCGCATGAACTCCAAAAGGAACGAGACAAGATATGTCGACAGGGTAAGCTCTTGTTTATCTGAATATGTTGAGTTCGCATATTCTGCAACTTTTTTGTCTTAATTATTATTGATATAACTGTTGTTTGTATCAACCTCTTTTGTTTGTAATACAACCAATAGTAAATGATGTAATAATGTGGGTTTTTTTTATTTCTTTTATACCTCAAGTCAGGTATATTACAAAGCGTCTCCTGTTATGTATGTATTACATACCATATGAATCCACACTCATGAAAAAATGTCTCAATCGAGAAAAAGTCACAATCGGCAAATTTACCAGTCGACTATTCTGGTAAATAGCAGGGATTCAAGACCGTGACAAACAGAAGTAAACACGTGCAAATAAATCGGAAGGACAGGCATCCATAACGTATTAAGATTAACTAAAGGTGCAATACGATTCATCCTAGGTGTCACCATTTTATTTATTTGAAAAATTATGTATTATTTAATGGATTGTTTCTGTGTATAGTTATGTAGTTTTGCTGTTTCGCAGGAGTTGTAAGAGGGAACATGTCTGTGGAATTATATGTTGCTATATTGAATATTGATAAAGACAAAGATGATGCAGAGCAATATAGAAATCACCTAAGTCAATCCTTTGGAAATGAAAATATCCATATCAGACTTCTTGGAAAAACTATGAATTCCAAGGACAAATTGAAAGACATGCTGGAACCCTGTCGTCATATATTTATTTTTGTGTCGGACAATTTTACAATAGACAAATTTAAGGAAGAAATTGATTTTAAACATTTACAAGACAAGTTTTTGAATGACTCATTTAACATAGAGCGTGTCAAAGTTGTTTATACTGATTTAAGTAAAATTCCAAAAGAGTTGTTTGCGTTAAATACAGTACCGTATACTGCTGAGAGCATAAACAATGGAACTTATATTGCCAGGATGAAGTACTACTTCTCTACGATTCGAAAAGATTTAAAATAACGTCATATTTGTATATTTATTTTAGCTGTTTAACTTAAGCTATGTTTACACAGAAAGGCGCATTTTTTTTATCAGAATTTTAATTTAAAACGTATTTGGTTTTGATATATTTATCTGTGTTGTTCATACTAATAAATCTAATCATTTTAAAATTTGTCTCTCCATAACGATATTTTCGATTGTTAATTTTTTTTGAATATTGGAAATAGGGCTAAAATAAAAGCACAAATTTCGGACAGAAAGTGTTTAAGATTTTCTTAATCCTATTTGCATATTAATGAAATGCTGGAGTGAAAAAGGATTCTATTAAATGCTTAATTAAAAAAAAATGCTATGTTTTATTATATACCTTTGATAGTAAAGTCAAGTTACAAATATACTGTTGACTATTTTAGTGTTATTGACAAATTCATATCAGAGTCAAACTATTAATTATAAAGCTCCTAATAAGAAATTATATTTTATGTAAAAGACAAATTAAGAACACCAGATTTCTCAAGTCATTTTAACACCAAAAAGAAATTGATAAGAATGTATTCTACAAACTGCGCTATACTGGAATTTCTGTTTATCTATTAAACTTGCAAAAGTTTTGTGAATGTTAAATGATTTTTACTGCTAACTTTGTTTTAGAATCAATGTGTAACAATTATCAATGGTTTGTAGATTTTCACCTTTGCAGGGTAGTATATAGAAAGACTTATTTATCTACCGTAGATGTATTTTAATACTAGTACTTATATTGCAATAATTATGGTTATTTGGCCTTTGTCAGGAACTGTTACATTTTTCGGTAACACACACTTAAAATGGTTAAAGTTATTTTCCAATTGCATATAGATCATACGATTAGCAGAATTTGCTATGTTTGAATGTTTGCTCAAGCATTGTAATTATAATAGACATTTGAAGGCAGAGTTTCAGTCTAAATAAGATTAGATAGGACAATTGATATGATGTAACGTAAACACCACAAATGTTTTTGTTATTGATCTAAAGGTTGGATTTTACAGAATATTGGAAAAAAGAAAATTACTCATAATGTTCAATAAAAATATTTTTTAATGAAAATGTCCACGATATATTACCAAGAATTTTTTTATTAACTCTTGAGTTTCTTCTATTCTCATATTGTTTTTAGAGTCAGGAGATTAAATCGTAAACTCATTAGTCGATACGTTACTCTTGAAATTCAATCATTTACAAAAAACGTAATGACATTCAAATTGTTTGCAGAATAAGAATAGGAATATATAAGAATAAGAATATTTTATTGAATCCAATTAAAGGGTCCGTTTCCGAGCATATACATATATATATATAGTATTAATTATACAGTTACTTTTAAGATATGTTGCATTGCAAATAAATGAATAAATAACTATACTCCATACCAGATGGTGTTTGAAAATAAATGAAATAGAATATTAACCTTATCTAATACATGAAACATCAACTACATCACTACTACATGTATATTTAGTTTCTGGAATGCAAATATTTCAAGACAAGTAATAATAATTCTTGACACTGACATATTAAAATTTTCAGACTCACTGAACATTAACCAAATAAACTATTCGTACTTTGAAATATAAGGGAGGTTTTCACATTAAATATAAATAAGAAAATGTGGTATGAGTGCCAATGAGACAACTTTCCATCCAAGTCACAATGTATAAAAAGTTATTAATTATAGGTCAAAGTACGGCCTTCAACACGGAGCCTGGGCTCACACCGAACAGCAAGCTATAAAGGGCCCCAAAATGACTAGTGTAAAACAATTCAAACAGGAAAACCAACGGTCTAATCTATATAGAAAAGAGAAACGAGAAACACCTATGAACCACACCAAAAAACGACAACCACTGAATAACAGGTTCCTGACTACATGATTCAACCAGAATAAGATTCTATTCCTTTTCGTATGCAGTGCATTCCATTAAAAAATGAAACTCAACTTCAACCTGCATATGTTTACACTGCCCACAATTTTTTTTTTATCTTTGTAGATTCTTTTATATCGAACTTTCTCAATAGCTAACTGATGAGCACTGATTCTACACTGTAAATAAAAGTATTAAGAATCTGATCACTTCATGAACGCCCTTTTGTAACACTTCTGGAACGCGTAACAGTGTTCTAAATATTAACATTGGTGTTCCAATTTTTAACATCATGTTTGCATCTTTCGAACACTATGTGTGTACTTCTTGAACATAAAGTGTGTACTTCTGAACGCCTAGTGTTTGATTCTGGAACATGTCCTTGTGAGCAAAATTGTATGCCGTACGCGTTCCAAGCATTGTAACACTTCTGCAACGCTCTGACTGTGTTCCAGAAATATGTGTTAATATCCTTAACGCATAGTGTGTACTACTGGAACACATTTTTACATGTTCCAGAAAAAAGTGTCCCATCCTCTGAAACATTTTTTTGTGGTCGAGTAAAAATAATACTTGATTAATTAAAACAAATCTAAAAAACAAAAACAAAAATACTAAGAGGCAAAATTCAAAAAAGGACAAACAATGAGAAACATTTCAAAATTACAAGTTAGACAAGTTAGAAATGCAAAAGTTTCGTCACATTAAAAATGATAGTTATTCAAGAAAGTCTACTGGTATAAGAAACAATAATAATCATTTCTTCTGTCAATACGTGTATTTAATCAACACAGTTCAACTCATCTTTTGCCGCCTCTGGAGTCAAGCACTGCCTTGAATTTCTTTACAAAAACCTTTTACTTCATGGAGGACTCAGATGTACCTGGCTCAGTCATCACTCATATTTTCCATAATCCACTGCCTGCATATCACTTCAGATAATCAATATCCAACAAACAATACCCTGTAGATTGCTTATTATTGAGTCGGTGCTGATGTAACACTGCTGTAGGAATTTAACATGATTTTAGTCGCCTAAGACTGTTTTTGAGCTTCCATTTTGAAAATCACAGGGTGAGGTGGCTTTTAACTACTCTTTGACCTTACCATCAACCGTAAGTTCTGAAATGTAAAATAAACGGTGTATGAGTTAATAATGTATTTATCATGTCGATATTGCTAATGAATTATAAATTCTAATTTCTTTTTTTTTTGGCAATTCCATTTAAGTCGTCATTATTATTAGAGGAGATTATTTTTTGAATCAGTGCAATATTTCAGAAGTTGTTACAGATGCGTTTTTACTGTTTAGATGTTAAAGGGTGGTCTATTTTCAAGTAAGAAGCTCTCCGATTCTACAATGTATGGCTTTAAAAAAAGTCTTTAGACAACTTTAAATATGCCTGCAGACATCTCAAGAATCTTATGATTTGAAAGCCCAGGATGTATAAGAACCGGAAAACGTTGAAGAGCTATAAACCACAAAGGACCTAAAATAATAGCCAAATCTATCTAAGGCCAACTTTGCCTGAGGGAGTTGAAACCTTAGTTTCTGTATAATTTCAAAACTTAAAAACATGCAATTTTAAATAGTTTGTTATAAATCATGTCAGTACCGAAGTACTAACTACTGAGCTGATGATACCCTCGGAGACTAATAGTCCACCAGCAGAGGTATTGACACAGTGCTGTAAAAAACTGAACACAACACGTTATAAATTTCATGCGTCCAAAGCGCTTTTCTGGATTTACCTTTATCAGGAACGCTCAAAGCCGAATATTTGAATGCTAAGGATGTATAAGGACCGAAAACGTGGAATAGCTATAAACCAAAAAGGGACCTAAAAAATAGCCAAATCCAGCTAAGGCCAACTTTGGCTGAGGGAGTTGAAACCTTAGTTTCTGTATAATTTCAAAGTTTATTAAACGGGCAGTTTGTGTGAGTAATCGTCTAACTGTTGCTTTCTATTCACACTATAAGCTTTGTGTGTTTTGTTTTTTAAATTTAAATGTATCCCATTTAGCAGTTGTGAACGTGCATATACCAATTGTGAAAGACACAAAAAAATAGGATCATTTTCGTGTATTCTCACAAAGAACCTTCTTATTTCGTTGATATGAATTGTGGCATAACAGCACGTTTCAAAAGACAGATATTCTTAACTTCCATTTACTTCGATGTGTCTTGTCAGAGCAGGACATTTTTCATTGAAATCCTTAGACATGAAATGGTTAAGTTCATAATTTGTTATTAATATTGCAATACATACCTATATAACCAAGTTGAGGTGATAATATTTTTCAGTGACGCTTCTTCTTCATGTTCTATTCAAAACAAGCGCTCAAAACCAACTTCCGGTAAAGTAATACGTCACGTCACATTATTGACGAGGACATTTTTGGAATACTTGGCGTTCAGAGAAAAGCGTCAGTTGTAACGCGTTGTGTTCGAGACCAGAACGCTTTCACAATATCAACGATTGCATTAGTATTAACATATTTACATTGGTTAAAAAATAAATCCAAAGAACTAAAGTCGTTCAGAAAAGGATATATTTAAAATTTCAAACATTTCCAGGTTTCCAAATATGCCCCCGAGACATGATTCAAGGTTAATTTTTCTGAACTATAATTAGCTTATGTTGATGCAGCTGAAAGATATTTGTCGTCAATTTATGATAATAGACATCATTATTCATCGTCTGGTTGAGTCTTACGCTATGAAACATTAGTGAATTCCCCGTTACAGAATAAGAACACTCAAGTGTTCAAATTCAGAACACTGTTCTTGAACATGTGTGTTAAAAGACTGAACACAATGTGTTATATATTCTTATGATGACGTCAAATGTGGAACACTGGTGTTATAAACCGAAAATATTGTGTTAAAAATTGGAACGCATCCGGACGCGTCAGGCGTCCGCAATATTTGCAATGTAAATTGCGTTAAGCTTTTTCAATACTGAAATTTATTAACTTGACATTAATATGCTTCCCTTTTTGAAGATGCTTTTAAATTCAAAATAAGTACGCAATTTTCCTTTTTTAACATTTGCATTATCGTCTATAATATTTTTCCAGTAAACCCTATATCTAATTATCAAAATATTTTTAACCTTTTTAATGTCAAAACTTTTCATATTAACATCAATACATCTTAAAATATATACAATACAAGAGGCTGTCGAGTGACAGCAAACCGGATTTTCCTCCAGAGGTCGAACCCTGAACAGTTGAGCAAGTATTGACACAACATTTAAGCTTAAAACAGCTCTGAATTTGGATTGTGATTGAATATTTATAATAGATGATTATCTAATTAATATGAAAATGATATTTGCAAATCTGAACCCCAAACAGGATCATGTAAAAATTAAACATTAACACACACAACAAAAATATAAAGATATTTTGATGTTATCATTACTGGTTCATGGAATAAGTTTGAGTTATTTCCCTTTGAACAGAAATATGGTTTAACAAAGTACTCTAACATAAGATATGATTTCACCAAAAAATAGTTCTCTAAAACTAGATATGATGTAACAAAATGTATATCTATTTTCAAATTATAATCAAATATAATTAATAGTTCCAAATATTTTGTCTTTCATTTGTCATAAACTAATATAGATCTGCAACTTATCTATCAACTTTATCTTCACAATGTAATGACATGAAATATATCCTTTAATAAAAATAGATTATTATCTAATGAAAGGAGTTCACTTCATAAAACAAAATTATATATATAGCATTCAAAAAATTAGTTTATACAGAATAATATACAAACCTACCACAAAATTCTTCAAACAATTTACCAAAGAAAAGAAAAAAAAATCCAAAATGTCATTTTTCATTAATACAATGTCTTTGTGCAGAAATGGATTAATTCATCAAAAATTGAATTCTTGGGAAAGGGCTATAACTGAACAACGAGATAAGCTAAAGTCATGAAAATTGAACTTGACCTTCATTTAGTCACAGGAAACAACATATTTAAATTTGAAAAAAATTTCTTCAAAGCGTTTTCATGAAAATGAACGAACACTGTTTGGCAGCCGCCCGCCCGCCCGCCGTACATTCCGAAATCAATAACCGATTTTTACTTCGAAAATCCGGTTAATTAGAATACCAAGATGACAAATTACATTAAAATATATTAGAATATGATTACTTGGTTGATTATTGGTGGGTTTTTTAATTTCTATATCGAGACAGGAACATGACATAAATGAAATAGCATCAGTGTCTTGTAGCTGCACTATACTCTGTGTAACTTGGTCGAATATAACATTTCTCTCACAGTAAGAGTGATCCAATTTTAATGTCATCTTCCGTTAATTTTAGTAATGCTTTCGAGTATCCACTTCTCAAGGGTGTACAGTATTTTAATCTGAAGTATGTTTTCTCAACTTTTTGGAATTTTGGGTCCTCAATGCTCTTCAACTTTGTACTTGTTTGGCTTTATAACTACTTTGATCTGAGCGTCACTGATGAGTCTTAT